AAGAGGGTTCGAACATAGTCTTGACATACTTGTTTCTCATATGGCATGTCATTTTCCCACAAACAGGGATAAAATATAATGTGTGTGTGTGTGTGTCTGTACACACACACATATATATACACACACATACATACACAGAAGAGTGTCTGTTGTATAAATTTGAAGTAAAAAATCTGAAGGGAATATCACCAATACATCACCTATATCAACTATAGCTGAAAACAAGTTCTATGTCTCACTGAAACAAGCAGAATGAATTATCCATGGCTCACACAAGAGGCTTTGGCTCACCCCTGATGAGTGATTCAGTCTAGTTTTAAACAAAGAGAAAGATTATCAGGAAGGATTATGACACAGACTACAGATTGGGTTTTGCAACAGCTGAATAATGCCTGTCTTTTCCTTAACTACTTATAAATATTTTGTTTTTCTCACTCAACAAGGTTGCCCAAAGTATTTTGCTGTCTGAGGCAAAACACAGCATAACTCCACACCCAAGACTCAAATAGAGACACATTCCCACATGTAAAGTGACTACACCTGAGATTTGTTTAGCTGATGCTGGACAGCAAGCTATAGCCCCCTTCCCTGACATCTTGCTGCCCACCTGCAGATCTGCCACCTGAGGCAACCTTCTAATAATAGTCAAGATGGCTCTGCCAATCAGATTACACAGGGAACTATCCTAATGTAGAGTGTTAGCATGCTGAATATTGGATCTGAACACCAGGACACTGAGTTCAAATTCCTGCTTGGCCAGGGAAACCAATCTTAGCCTTAGGAGATGGAATGATGAAATCTTCCTTAAAAACCACGACTGCTTATTACTACTTACATACACTGTGTACGACACAAACTTGGACTGACACACGAAATAACAGTTACAGGCACTTCTTGATTCCGAGAAGAAAGAACCATCCAACCAGATACATCCAAAGGGATTATTACTTAAAAAGTAACCACTTCCACAAACCCCACATGCTGCGTAACAGAGGACGCTTGAGTTGCTGGGGAGTTTCCAAAAGGAGTTTGTTATGCCCTCAGTGTCTCGTACAAAAATCCTGCTGCCTTCCATTCTTTGGATTCCAGCCAATATATACAAAAGCTCTACCACAAATGCTCTTTCCAGAGGCTTACATGTGCAGAACATCAGGGTTTGTTCTCCAGACCTCACAACAGCATGAATGATACGACCGAGGTGGCAATTCTCTGCACAATGAGAACAAAGCGCCAGAGCACCAAACGAAGTAGGATTATGTTCCGAGTAAACATGCACGAGATTGTACAACATCACAACACAGCATGTCTGAAAAAAAGACAGTTGTGGTTTCAAAGAAATGAGGACACTTGGAAAGCCACTCTGGGCAACATCAATGGGCACAGAAGAAAGAGTATACCTCCTTAATTGCTCCTTTGCATAATTTCTTTTGCAACCTCAGGGAATCGTATCCAGTTTATCAAAGCTTGGGTGGCAATTTGGTTTGCTGTAGCAGAATAGCAGGGTTATCTTTACATCTAGCGTTCTTCTATCTTAATTTTCTTTTTTACACTAACTGTGTTACAGGGGATTACAAGCACAGTGCAGGGGCTTGAGCAGTGGACTATGATTGCAGAGACCAGGGGTCGATGGAAACCCACTGGATAAGCTCAGTTTTCTATGATGGAAATGACTTGAAGCCACACTAACAACTTAGAATCAACATGCCTTGAGTTTGGCAAAACTTCATCTTAGGAAAGGATGCACTACATTGTGGCTGAAGTCACATCCTACCCATCCTATGTCAGAAGTTTAGGTAAAGCAAAGGTAAAGGTTTCCCCTGACATTAAGTCTAGTCGTGTCTGACTCTGGGGGTTGGTGCTCATCTCCATTTCTAAGCCAAAGAGCCAGCATTGTCTGTAGACACCTCCAAGGTTATGTGGCCGACATGACTACATGGAGCACCATTACCTTCCTGCAGAAGCAGTATCTAATGTTTACTCACTTGCATGAACTGCTAGGTTGGCAGAAGCTGGGGCTAACAGTGGGAGTTCACCCTGCTCCCTAGATTTGAACTGGTGACCTTTTGGTCAGCAAGTACAGGAGTTCAGTGGTTTAACCCACTGCACCACCAGGAGAATTCCCCAATTAGAGAGGTTTTTCTGGGGCAATCAGATCATGGGTCCCCCCTCGGGGGTGAGAAGGGCGGGGTATAAGTGCTGGAAATAAATAAAAATGGGTGTTTTTGTAGAAGTTGGATGAGGCACTGGCACTCTTTGACAGAGAAGGCTAAAGACCAGGCATAGATGGGCAAACTCTGGCCTTCCAGGTGTTTTGGTCTTCAACTCCCACAATTCCTAACAGGTGGCTGGGATTTCTGGGAGCTGAAGTCTAAAACACTTGGAGGCCTGAAGTTTGCCCATGCCTGCTAAAGACCCTACAGACCCCAGGATCCCATAGCCTTGAGGTGCCAAGGTGCTAAGGTGTTGCAAGGTGTAGTAGCATTTTAGCCTAAAGATGCTACAACTCATCAAATGTTCCTCTTTGGTAGAGAAAGCTCAAGACCTTGCACTGGCAGTTCAAGCGGGGTCAAAGTACATCCATTCTACAGTGTAGGAGCCAGGTATGGGCAAACTTCTGCCCTCCAGGAGTTTTGGACTTCAACTCCCACAATTCCTAACAGCCTACATAACCTACAAACGATCTACAGACCCACTAAGAAAATCCATCAAATGCTTGTTTTCAGCAAAGGACAAGAGGGATCCTCTCACTTTTGCAGGAGTCTACCATGTACCATGCAGCTGTGGACAAGTCTACATAGGGACCACCAAACGCAGTATTGCCCAAACATGAATCAAGGAACGAAAGGTACTGCGGACTAACTCAGCATGAGAAGTCAGCCATAGCAGGGCACCTGATGAACCAACCCAGTATATTATTCGAGAACACAGAAATGCTGGACCACGCTAACAACTACCATAAACCTCATCACACTAGAGAATGAATCCACTTTAAATCTGGTTGCTGCCTCCTGCAGAATTCTGGGATTTGGAGTTTAGGAAGGAGCCTTTAACAGCCTCACTAAACTACAAACTCCAGAATTCTACAGGAGGCAGAAACTGGATTTATAGTGGATTCATTCTCTACTGTGATGAAGTATTATGTCAGACTACATAGAGAAGCCACTGAAATCCAAAACCATGGGATCAATTTCAACAGAAAGGAAGAAACCATGAAAACGAACAATTCTAAAATCAGGACAATAAATAAAGAGCAACACTAAAAAAAAGGACGGGAATTCCAGGCATGAAACAATCAGGGCCAGCTAATCACCTCCCAACAAAGGATCCCCCCAGGCAGGAAGCAGCCAAAATTTGAAGTTGCAAGGCTTTTCAATGGTAATCAAGGTGGCGAATTGCAACATTCACACTTGCCTCAATCAGGCAAAAGTTCTTTCTTGTTTATATAAGTATACACTGTCATATAATCCAGTTCAAAGCAGATAATCTGGATTTTATATGGCAGTGTAGAAGGGGGCTCAATTCCCAGGATCAACTTTTCACATATGGGGTTGTTATGTGTTTTCTGGGCTGTATGGCTATGTTCCCAAAGCAGTGATAATGAAAATGAACAAAATTTGGCTACCAGTATTTTAAAAATTCTCTAAAATTCTAACAGTAAATAAAGAACAACACTAAAAAAGCAGGGGAATTCCAAACATGAATCAATCAGAGCCAGCTAACACCTCCCAGCAAATGATCCGCAAGGCAGGGAGCAGCCAAGCCTTGAAGCTGCAAGACTTTTCAATGCTAATCAAGGTGACCAATTGCAACATTCATGCTTGCCTCAAACAGACATGAGCTCTTTCTCCTGCCCTGGACATTCCACAGATAAATAAACTTCACTTGCCTAGTTTCCAACAGACCTCACAATCTCTGAAGATGTCTGTCATAGTTGTGGGTGAAACGTCATAGAATCATAGAGTTGGAAGAGACCTCATGGGCCATCCAGTCCAACCCCCTGCCAAGAAGCAGGAAAATTGAATTCAAAGCATCCCTGACAGATGGCCATCCAACCTATGTTTAAAAGCTTCCATAGAAGGAGCCTCCACCACACTCCAGGGCAGAGAGTTCCACTCCTGAACAGCTCTCACAGTCAGGAAGTTCTTCCTAATGTTCACTGCACAACTTATTTGAGAGTAAAAAAGGCTAAACATGCCCAGCTCTTTAAGCCACTCCTCATAGGCCTTATACTCCAGACCCTTGATCATTTTAGTCACCCTCCTCTGGACACATTCCAGCTTGTCAATATCTCTCTTCAATTGTGGTGCCCAGAATTGGACAGAATAGAGGGGTGGCATGACTTCCCTGGATCTAGATACTATAATCATATCGATGCAGGACATTGGCTTTTTTGGCCACCGCATCACATTGTTGGCTGATGTTTCAGTTGTTGTCCAGGATGATTCCAAGATCTTTTTCACATGTACCTCTCTTGAGCCAGGCATTGTCCCCCATTCTGTATCTTTGCATTTCATTTTTTTCTGCCTATGTGGTGTATCTTGCATTTGTCACTGTTGAACTTGAATGTTTCAAGTTCAAGAATGCTTCAAGAAGCAGAGAATGCTTCTGGAACATGGCCAGACAGCCCAGAAAACTCACAGCAACCTGCTGCATTCTCTCTCTTTTGATTGCAAGCAGCAATTTCCAACTTGAGAAGTTTCCTGGGGAGATCAGATTATGGGTGTTTTTGTAGTAGTTGGTCGAGATACCAGAGAAGGTTACAGGCAAGGTATGGGCAAACTTGGGCTCTCTCTCCAGGGTTTTGGAGTTCAACTCCCATCATTCCCAACAGCCTCAGGCCCTTTCCTTTTCCCCCTCAGCCGCTTAAGCGCTGGGCCTGAGGCTGTTGGGAATGATGGGAGTTGAACTCCAAAATCCCTGGAGAGAGGGCCCAAGTTTGCCCACCGCTGATGTGCTTTGGCCCCTCTTGACCCTGCTCTCCCCCCTTTCCTGCTGCTTACCGCTGGCGTTCTTCCCGCAGATGAGGTGCTCGCAGGGCTGGAGGATCCCCCAGAGCTCGGCGTCGTTGTTGACGGCGGCCTCGAGGGCTTCTGCGGAGAGGGCCTCGGGGGCGTGGGTCCTGGAGGCCCCTTCTGCCGCGGCCACGACCCTCGCCTGGACCTCCCGGGCCAGGTTCTCGAGGCAGGCGGCCAGGGCGATGGCGGCGTAGGCGTGGACGCGGACGGCGACGCGGGTGTCCACCATCCATCGGAAGAAGCGCCCCACGGAGAAGGTGAGGCCGCAGCGGGCGGAGGTGCCCCGGCGCAGCCCTTCCCCGGCGCTCATGCTGTAGAGCGAGAGGGCGCGGACGGAGGCCAGGAGGCAGCTCTCGGCCAGCGCCCAGCTCTGGATCAGCCGGGCCGCGCTCTGGACCCCCGCGCGCGTGCACTTGGCGTGCAGCAGGCCCAGGCGCTGCGCCTCGCGCGCGATCCGCACCAGCGGCCGGCGCAGCAGCCAAGACAGGCGCCGCACCGCCTCCGCGCTGAAGCCCCCGCAGCCAGCGCCGTCTCCCCCGGGGCTCCCTTTGCGCAGGACCTTGGCCACCTCCTCGTCCGTCCAAGGGAAGTCCTCGAGGTCCGGGAGGCGGGCGCAGCGGGAGAAGACGGCCTCGGCGGCCTCCTCCTCCTCCTCCTCTTCTTCTTCATCCTCCTCCTCCTCGTCTTCTCGCTGGCCCCCCGCCGCCTCTTCCTCCGGCAGCGCGGCCGGGTTGACGGTGTCCCAGCTGTTGTGGCGGCTGGCCGCGGAGCCCGAGGAGCGTCGGCGGCGCCACCGGTTGCCCTGCCGCGGGGGCTGCTGCGCCGAGGAGAAGGAGGAGGAGGAGGAGGGCGCCAGGAAGGCCTGCGAGGCCGAGCGCGAGGAGGAGAGGCTCAGCGAGCGGCACGAGTCCCCCGCGCCGCCCCCGTAGCCCGAGTCCAGCGTCAGGTCCTCCAGCGTCTTCAGCGCCGCCGAGCTGTACATCCCGGAAAGGAGGAGGAGGAGGGGAAGGGGACGGAGGAAGAGAACGGGATGGAGGAGGAAAGAGAGGAGGATGAAGAGAAAGTGAAGCACGGGAATGCAGAGGAGATGGAGAAGGAAGGCGAAAAGGAGACGGAGAGAAAGAGGAAGACGAGGAGAGAAGGGGTTCGAGGGGAAGGAGGAAAAAGAGGAAGAGATGGAAGAAGAGGAAGAGAAGGGGATGGAGGGGAAAGAGAGGAGGATGAAGAGAAGGCGAAGGACGGGAATGAAGAGGAAGAGGAGATGGAGAAGGGGATGAGAAGGAAGGCGAGGAGGAAGAGAAGGAGAAGAGAAGGTAGATAAGGAAAATAAGAGGAGGAGGAGAAAGATGAAGAGAAGGGGATGGAGGAATTAGAAGGAGGTAGCGGAAGAGGAGAAGGACAGAGCAAGAGGAAGGGAAGAGAGAAGGAAGAAGAGAAAGGGGAGAGGCGGGAAGAGAAGAAGATGAAACGAAGGTGAAGGACGGGAATGAAGAGGAGATGGGGAAGAAAGGCGAGGAATAAGAGAAGAAGAGTAAGAGGAGAAGGAGATGGAGGAAGAGGAGAAGGACAGAAGAAGGGAAGAGAGATGGGGTTGGAGGGGAAGGAAGAACAAGAGGAAGAGATGGAGGAAGAGGGGGGAAGAGAGAAGGATGAAGAGAAGATGAAGGACGGGAATGAAGAGGAAGCGATGGAGAAGGGGTGTGAGAAGATGGAGAAGAGGGGGAAGAGAATAAGAGGAGGAGAAGGAGGAGAAAGATGAAGAGAAGGAGATGGAGAAGAAGCAGCGGAGGAAGGAAAGGAGTAAGAGGAAGCAGAGGAGGGAAAGGAAGAGCAGCAGCAGGAGAAGGAAGCGCAGGAGATGGAAAAGGGAGGGAAGAGGAAGGAGGAAAGGGGGGAGAAGGGCTGCCCGGGGGCCCCTTGGCCCCCCGCGGATCCCTAGGGCGCCCCCAGATGCCAGGCGCCTCCTCTCGGCGCTCCTTCAGGTCTCTCCTTCTGGGTGCCAGCTGTCTCCATTCCACAGGCGGAGTGAGATCATGGGGTTTTTTTTCTTCCGGCTGATGGAAAGCGCTGGGGCCAGGAGGAGGTACAGGAGGGATGAAGGGAAGTCGCAGGAGCCCAAGCCAAGCGGGAGAGCGCGCCGACTCTTTTTGTTCCTCCCCCTCGGGAGCCTCCTCTCCTCTTGAGGCAAGGTGAAGAAGGAAGGCGCCAGTCCCTTTCCCAAACGCGAAGATCTTCTCCGTTCTCTTCCTCTTCTCTCTCTCTCTCTCTCTCTCTCTTTCACTTGCGAGGAGCTTTGCACCAACTTCGCTTTCGGCCGCTCGCGCTGCTCCTGAGAGAGGGGCACTCGCATACACTCAGCCGCACACAGGGATCCCGGGCGGTATGCAAATAAGCCGCGGGATCCGCTCCAATCAGTATCTCCGAAGAAAAGGGGGCGGGGCGTCCCGCGGAAACGTGAACCGAAAGGAAACGCCCCGTATGCATATCAGGGGGGCGGGACTAAGGGGGGCGGGGTCCGGGGAGGGAGGGAGGAAGGAAGGGGATCGGAAGAAGCATCGCCTTTGAGCGGAGAAGGAGGAAAGAGGAAGGAAGAGCAGGGCGGACTGAGACAAGGAGGGTGACAGGAAGAGCCTGGGAAAAGAAAAGGCAGCTGCTCGCCATGTCCAGACCGCGCAGTGCACAGGTAATAATGGAAGAACTCCCCCTTGAAGGCTGGACTTGATAGTTCTTGGTGGTTCCTCTCTTTTCCTCCTTGTGCGGGCCTGGGGGTGTTTTGATACTACTCATCATGGCACTGCTTCCAGCAATGTGCTTAAAATCGCTTTGCACAACTTACTTGAGAGCAAAAAACAAAACAAAAGGAAAACAAAAAACAAGACAAAAACAAAAAAAACCCAACAAAAACCCCACTTAATCTCAGGGTGCGTTTGCACTACAGAATTACTGCAGAGTGACACCACTTTAATTGTTATGTCCTAATATTATGGAATTGTGGGATTTGTGGTTTGAGGCACCAGCACTCTTTGGCAGAGAAGGCCGCTTTGTACAAACTAAAGGTCCCATGATTCCACTGTAAGGAGCAAGGGCAACTCAAATGGTGTCAAACTGCATTAACTCTGCAGTGTAGATGCACCTTCAGTGGGATTTAGTGAAGGCTGAATCTGATAGTTTAAGAGGAATAAGGTGTATTTTTCGTGTACACTTAATGATTGAAACTGCATTGCTGGAACACACAACTGTGTATATTGACATGCTCTATATCTCTTTCTGCCCCACATAAGCAATCTTCAGGGTGTTTTCTCAATGCCTTGCTCTTGTGCAAGATAACACTCAGGAGCTTTTCTTACGCGCTGAGCTGAGCGTGAATGTTCCTATAGTGGCAAGGGAACAGGATGGATTCTGCTAAAGGGGATTTCACAGTTGGATGACAGATTTTAAGGGAAAGGGAGGGTTTTTCAGGTGGGAATAAACACCCTCAGGAATAAACAACAACTTCATAGTATGGAAAGAGTCAATTTTGGGTGTGTAGCAAATGTGGGTGAAGGGTGAAAGACAGCCATTTTCAGAAATTCCGGAGGAACGGTCCTGCTGTCTGGAGTTGCAACAAGAACAATAAAGTTTCAGATCCTTTTAATCTCTTAGTCTTTTCCATGCCATAAGATTGGAATTATTGTTTTTACAAGCAATGCTTAAACTACTCTTGATTGCTCAGGTTTACATTTGCATGTCACATATTTGCATTCCATTTGAAACAGTTTTTCCTCTTGGTTTGCGCCTTGCGTTGACAACTTCCACAAGTGACACTTCACAAAGTAAAGGTTGTTCTGATAGGGAGAGGAATTATGCAGCCCTCCAAATCTTTCAAGTCGCAGGTCCCCTAGCTAAGGAAATCAATGTTGAGGAATACTGGAAATTGCAATCCTGCCAGCCTGCAAGATTGAATATGTTATATCTGCAGAGGATACATTCCAAGACCCCATGTAGATACCTGAAATCATAGATAATAGACTTGTGCATTTTGGCAGAACCTCGATCTGTTTCTGCTAGGCAAATACTGGTAGACCCCCATATCCACTTTTGCGAGCCTCCTGAAAATGGGCGCATAGCTGGATGGCGTTTTTAGACCGCAGCCAAAAAATATGGCTAGATCTGGCAATGGGGTGCTCCCCGGAATTCTTATCCCATAATTTTAGGCAGTAACACCATTTGTCCTTATATCCTTCATTAAGATCTGGATTAAAAAGCATCAGAGTTAAGATACCACTCTTTCTGTAATCCTTTCTCTTTGGCTTGTAGAGGAGACCCGGGTTTAATGCTTCATGAAAGCTGTTTCTACTCTAGAGGAGACAGGCGCTGCAGGCATACACACAATCTCCTCTCCCTGCATGCAGCTTTCCAAGGCATTTTAAGGAGGCTTCCCACTTCGCCAGGAAAGACAGAGTGATGACTTGGAGCTATCCTACCCTAGGCTTCCTTATAAAAGCCCTCTCTTTTCTCTTGATTGCACTGCAGGTCCTGCCTGGAGTGGTGCCTGCCTTTCCCCTCACAACTTTCTGCTTCGGGTTTAATGCTTCCTTAAAGCTGTTTCTACTTTCTACTCTAGAGAGGGAACTAGGTGGTAGTAGTTTTCTGAGAATGAGGGTTTTCTTTTGTTTGCTGGGATTACTATTATTAATATCTTTTGGAAATATTTTCTGAATGAAAGGAGGGAAGGAGAAAAAGAAGCTAAAAGGGTGACTCTTCAAGTCCCCAAATATGCACCCCACCCACCTATCCTGCACGTTCCCAAGTTCCAGTCACTAGTTCCACTAAATAAAAAAGAACCAAGAAAATAAAGGAAAATAAAAAAAAATCAAGAGAGGGGCCAAGCCAGAAATCAAGCCAAAAAAATACATGAAGCCAGGATACAACTGTGATGCCGAGTAGGGGAGGAGAAGCCATGATTGGCTGCCATATGGTCTCATTTCGGAGGGGAAAATATGACTGCAGGGCCCTTGCTATTAAAGCCATTCGGTAGAGCCGAAGAAGCCAGTTTGGCCAAAGTAAAATGGCTAAAATGAATCTGTCTACAAGTGTAAGAGGTAATATTTTGACTATAGTTGGTCTGGAAGAATACTGTAGAATGCACTGAAAGACCTAGAGAGGCCCACAAACACTTCCAGGGGGAAGGATTGTTTTGGAATGCGGATAAGTGGAACCATGGATATTGAATCTTTAGGTTAAGGGATGGCCGTTCTTTATTGCAAAAAATACATAATATAACCCACTGGATAATGTTCAATGACTCTCACAGTCATGTTAGGTTTGCCTTGGGCTCGCCATTAATTGGAAATTATTTGAAGGCACCCAACAACAACAACACTACAATCTATGACATATTTTTAACATCTTTTCTAAGGAGTTGTGTCTTATTTTTGTAAGTTGCAGAGAGAAAAGGTTGGGTGTCGTGAAGGCTTTGGAAGATTGCATGCAAGTGACTAGATTCCATAGAGGAGGGCTAATTGCGCAAGGGAAGATATGACTTCTAAAGATACCCACTTCCAAAGAGTGAATAGATATATTATGGCAGGAAGGTAGAGGTCATTGCTGTTCAATCTAGCTTTCTATTGAGATTTGGTTATCTCCCCCTTCACCTGATTCCGAAATAAACATATGAAATATATTTGCATCTACTATGCAGATTCAGAATCCGAGCACAAGATGCACAAATACAAACATTAGAAAAATACGTTTTCATCAGCGCAAGCTTTGTCAAGTATCATAAGATCTATCTATGAGCAAATTTGGGTTTACGCTGGTATCTCATCCCTGGAGGTCATAGCATGAATGAGAGGATTGACATCCTATTCGGAATTAAGGCAACATGGTGGGATCTGAAGCAGGCCTTTGTATGAAAGATTACACATTTTGGACCTTTGGGCATGGGTTGGCTATGAAATAAATATGCCTAGTTTGTCTCTGTTTCTCAGCTAAAGTATTCAAAGTTTTTTCTCCTCTCTTTCCATTAGCTGGTATTCATTAGCATTCATGTAGCTTAGGGAACATTTTTATTTATTTGATACAATAGTGCCACCTTCTGGTAAAACAGAACTTAAATAGTTGGAGGTTGCTCAACTGCAAACAGGTGACATCAGGAGAAGAATGTGCCCCTGGGACATGGATTATTTGGTTAAACATAGTATTTTTCTTCAGTGAGTCAGAGATCAGAGCTGAACACTGCAAGAACTGATGTAACAGTTAACTTAGCCAGTGCTGTTTTTATTTTTTAAAAATATTTTAATTAAAATTTTCCAAATTACATTTTTTAAAAATGGGAAAAGGGGGGAAAACATAGGGGCGAAGGGAAAGGGGTAGTT